CACTGTTGCTATTGGTTTGTATGTTTTATATACAGATAGTTTGAATAGTGCTCTTACCTCTTATTGGTGGCTGTTTTTAATAATCTGAAAAATGCATAAAACAATAAGAATATGTAAAAATAGATCACAGAATTGTTGGGGTGAAGTTGTTCTTGGATACACAGGTACTGTGGATAAGTCTGATTCTCTTCACTAGGGCTAAGTCTACACTGGCAGCTTCTTGCGCAAGAACAGCCATTCTTGTGCAAAAATTTGCCTTCTGTCTACACTGCACGAGCAAGAGCTCTTCCACAAGAAGGCAGTGTAGACAGGCAACATGAATTTCCTGCGCAAGAAGCCCCTATGATTAAAATGGCCATCAGAGCTTTCTTGTACAAGAGAGCGTCCACACTGCCATGGATGCTCTTGTGCAAAAGCACATCTCTTGCACAAAAGCACATGCCAGTGTAGATGCGCTCTTGTGGAAGACATTTTGCGCAAGAACTCTTCCGCAAAACAGTTCTTGCACAAGAAGCTTCCAGTGTAGATGTAGCTAGGGGTATGTCTACACTACATACCTGAGTTATGTCCACACTGCAATTGCATTCTTCTGAAAGTAAATTGAAAGAACAGAGAGGTTTTTCTAGCACTGGTAATCCTTTTTCTATGAGGAAGAAGCCTTTTTCCGAAAGAGCTCTTTCAGAAAAAGGCGTGTGTGGATGGAGAAGAGGGAGTTCTTTCAAAAGAAGAGGAAAGAGGAAGAAGCACAGGTGCCCTAGTGGCTACTCCGTCCATAGTAATCACAGCTTAAATGTGAGAGAGTGTCCATTCAGTGCGGAGGGTATCTTTCTAAAAAGCAGATCGCTTTTTCAATGCGCTTTCATGTGAGGATGCTCTCTTTCGGAAGATTTTTTTTGGAAGATCCCTTCCGAAAAAAGGTTCTTCCGAAAGAAGCCTGCAGTCTAGATATAGCCTAGGACAGCGGTTCCCAACCTCCGGTCCACAGACCATCAGTGAGCCATGCACTGCTCCTTGCCGGACCATGGCACACTGCCTTGGACCTGCATGCTGGAGAAGTGTGCAGTGAGTAGCACAGCAGGCAGGTTGTTTGGGGGTCTGTACTAGGGATGTTAACTATCGGTTATTTTATTAGTCGAGTAGTCGATGGAACATCCATTGACTACTCGACTAGTCAATAGGCACTTCAGCATTCCTCCTTTGAAAAGTACAAGAGCCCCCCCGCTGGGACTGTTGTACATTTCAAAGGAGGAATGCAGAACTCTGCGAGCAGCCTGGGGCCAGTCGGAAGTCCTGCTGACTCCAGGCTGTAGGCGGCATGCCAGCTTTGAAATGTACAAGAGTCAACAGCAGGGGCTCCATGCTGTGCTGCATTTGAAATGCCATGCGGCGTCCGGGGTCAGCTGACTGCAGGTTCCGCGCAGCATTTCCCCACAATCCGGGGTCAGCTGATCCCGGGTTCTGCAGAAATGCCGCACGGAGCCCAGGATCAGCTGAGTCCCCAGCTGACCCCGGGCTCCGTGTGGCACTGCCTTTGAATGCCACTTCTGTGTTTGAAAGGGGCAGTGCAGCAAAGCTGAGCCTGATGCAGCACAGGCCTCTCTCGGGGATCCAGAACAGCAGCGCTATCCAGCCATAGAGCACATGCACGCAACAGGAAATCTGCCAGTCTTTGCTTCTTAGGGGCATTTCTAGGCCCCTAAGCTCAGGCATCTCTATGGCCTGCAGCTGTAGCTCATGCGGGGAGCTGTAAGGCAAGGGGGAGCGGTGGTGGTAGTAGCACCTCCATCTGCAGGGGAGGAGTGGGGGATGGGCGAGAGCACCAGCCCCATCAGTGATCCTGGTGAGCTTGGGCAGCCGCGGCAACAAGCTGCTCTTCCACTTCCCCTTCCAGTGGGGCTCAGAGCACCCGGCCGCCCAGGCCAGTAAGAGGCAATGTGGGGCCACATGCCAGGTTCCACAGTTCTCTCTAAGCTGCGTGCTTGTGCACGCAAAGGAAACGTCTACCCTGCCCACCTCCTAGGCAGAGCTGCACAGTAGCTTGACGGGAGATATACTTGGGCTGCCAGGGCTGGAGGAACTGCATGGCTGGCTGGCGGGTGGGCGGCTGCTCTGCCCTGAGGAACCACATGGCGAGCAGGCGGGTGGCTGCTCCATCGGGCTGGGGCCGCAGGAACCATGGGGCAGGGGGGAGTAGGGGCAGTTACTCCGGCTGGCCTGGACCGGAGGAACCGTGTGGACAGAAGCAGGGGCAGCTACTCTGGCTAGCTGGGACTGGAAGAAACACATGGCTGGAGGGCAGGTGGCTGCTCCGGGCTGGAGGAACCGCATGGCGGGAGGGCGGTAAAATAACATGTGACAGCTTAAAATTAATTGCCACAATGAATATGCAAATATGCAAATTCATTATTTGCTGTAATGAATATGCAAATGTGTCTGCTGATCTGCCTAAAGTTTTTAATGAGTTCACCAGTCCATGGTATAAAAAAGGTTGGGAACCACTGCTCTAGAACACAGAATCACTTTGGTGGCCGCTATACTCCCTCACTAGGTGACTGAATTCCAGTGTATCCAAGAGACATACTGAAACTAGATAAATAACATCTTTAATCTTTTTTTCTTTTTCCTTTTCTTTCTATTTCTTTATTTTAACCATCACAAAGAAGTAGCAGCATAGTTTAAAAATGAAAGGGTTTGATTTCCCCTGAGTATCACTCCTTTTTGAATATTGTCATGGTAGACTGGGTAATTTGTGCCATTCCTGTGCACTTCAAAAAAAATCAAAGTCCTCTGGCCGTCCTCCACGCAGAAAGCTGAGATGGTTTTTAAGTCGTGTGTTACAAAAAATGTTGTGGGTTTTCTTTTTCCATGTCACGTATACACTTTCACTTTTGAGCTCCTTTTGACCCAGATTTCAGGGAAGGTTGGAGGAAAGCCAGAAACTATAGAAGTGCATAGTTACACATATATTTATTTTTAAGATACACAGACCTATTAAGCATGCAGAGAATCCCTGTATGGCACAATGTTGAATTGAACCAAGCCAAAGATCAGCAGGGGAAGAAGGAGTGGGCACCTCTCGATAGTGTTTGTTTCTGTTTGCAAAGCAGCTCGTACACAGTAAAGATCTGGATGCTCGACGTGAGGAAAACCTTACATTGTTCTGGAGTGCAGAGCAGTGAGAAAAGAGATTGATACCCCAACAACAACGCTCTAAACCTTCAGCACGTTCTAAAACCTCAGATGTCAGAACTGATATGAGAAGGCTGAGAGCTGGAAAAGTATTGTGGTATCTGACATGCAAATGAGCAGAGCGCATATTAAAGCTATGTACTGTCCATCTGCCAAGCTATTCATTGCTCCCAACCTGGGACAGATTATGAACACTGACCTAGTGTGCAAGATTGTTATTCCTTTCCCAGTCTCCCAAAGCAATCCGCTCTCCTACCCTGAGTCAGATCGAAACCAATGACCTAGAAGTAAATGACTGTGTCCCAGTTCCCCTGATGCATCCATGTTCCTGACCTGGGCCAGATTGAAACTGCTGACCTAGAGATGAAGGACTGTATCCTGTTTTCTAGCCCCCACAAGCTATCCAGTCCTCTTTCCAGAACAAGGGCCAGATTGGATGAAATGGGAAAAGTGTCTTATCCCCTGAGCCATCTGTCTAGTGGTTATAATTCATTGAGAAATATTTAATGTGGGCATTTTTAATACAGAACATATTGAAATGAGCTTTGTGAATTCAAGTGGATGGATAGAACAGTCATGGCCATTCTTGAATGAACATTGCTAAATAAGCCTAAAGAGATCATGAAGGAGCCTCAGGTGGTGTGACACTTACTTTCAGAGAGCCAAAAGATGTAAATGACACCAGATTACATTGTGTGTGATTTCCCTTAGACTCCCAGCACAGTGATGGTTAACTGATGTGTGCACAGGAGGGGAAGCTCTCTGGTCCCTAAACCATCCAAGACTTGTGAATAAAAGTTCTGTTCCTTTCGAAACGACAGAGATTCAGGTGCTGTAACCCTCCTTGGTCTTGGCATAGCTGTGATCAATGCTCCTGGAGCCTTTACTTTCTGCTTCTCTTCTTGTACATAACACTCTGCCTTGACAGAGAGCAGCATGCAAAGTTGTCATCGCACATTAACCAACCTGGATTCATGAGGTCTCACATGAAATGGGGAACAAACAGGATGAGGATGAAGGTTCAGCCAAAAACTCCTTTTTAACTGTTTACCTGTCTCCTCTCCCTGTGTCTTGACATGGTTTACTTAACCGTGTAAGTGCCTCAAGGCAGGCACTATGTTGCCTGCTTGCAAAGCACCACTCGCATTAATGCTGTACAGGTTGAAACTTTCTAAACCGGGACTCTCTGTTCTGGCAGCATCTGTGCTCCAGCATGGATGTTGTAGGACCAGAGAGTCCCAGTGGAGGTCCAGCAGCAGGGAGCTCTGCAGGGTCGGCAGGGCAGCGGGCTAACCACAGTGAGTGGCTGGTGGGGTCACTCAGTGCATGACAGCAGGGCTGGGAGACCTGTCATGTGACTGCCTGGTGGGGTTGGGAGCCACCAGTGCAGCAGTGGCAGTGGCCCAGTGTGGCCAGTAGCTGTGGCACCTGGCTGCCCAGTGGGACTCAGAGCTGTGGTATGCAGCTGCCTGGTGGGCCAGGAGCCCCAGCGTGTGGCTGCCCAGTGGAGGCCGCCCAGCGGAGCCAGGAGCTGCTGCAGCAAAAGCTGCCCAGCGGGGTCGGCAAAGCAGCGGCACTGGCAACAGGTAGGGAGCTGGTCCCTGGGGGCATGTAAATATCATTCTCTTCATTTTACAGATGGGAAAACAGGATAAAGAGGTGATATGACTTGCCTGATGGCATAGAGTGCCACATTGGCACAGTCAGGAATAAAACCCAGGCTCTGGACCATGCGCTGGTCTATGCTCTAACCACTAGCCACCACCACCTCACTTTGTTGACATTCTGTCTGTTGTATGGTTCCTTGGCAGGAGCAGCAGCACCAGCAGCCTGGAGACTGATGATGAACCTCCTTGTGCGGAAGATGTAGATTACCATACTGATAGCTGCTCTGACCAGGAGGCGGACTTCTCTGGGCTAGATGAAGAGATCCAGGAGATCTCCTTAAGGGCAGAAGGAGAGAGAGAAGAAGAAGGGGCCAGCGAGGGACAGACCTTCTGTTCCAGTGTTTTTGGAGGGTTTTACATTTCCAGCCACCAAGCAGCCAATAGCAAAGCTCTCCCTGTACCATCAACGCCACTTGGAGTGTTTGCCGGGTGTGAAAGCAGCCCTGCATGAACAGAGCTCTGACTTACCAAGCAATAAGCAAATGGATCACTGCTCCTCTTTAGCCATTTGCTAGCTTCAGCTTCATTCCCAAATGTGTTGCCCCAGTTTTGCATGGAAAACTGACTCCGTTTGTGTAATATATATATACTAGTAGAGGTGCCTGGCTTTGTGCGGGTCAGTAACTAAAAGAATAAATGAAAAATATACCTGCATTATTTCAATGATTGTATTTTTTTTAAATGAAGGAAAATTAAGGCTGGAGTGAGAGCTTGGGAGAGAGGAGGGAGTAGGTGGCTTAGGGCAGAGGTTTGGGAGGTGTGGAGGGGGGCTTACAGCAGGGGGAGGGAAGTAGGAGGCTCAGAGCAGGGGGAGGAGATGCTGAAGTTAAGGCAGGTGGGAAGTGCAGGACTCAGGGCAGGGGGCTCAGGACAGGGGGCTGGGAGGTGGTGGAGTGTTTACCGGGGCTGCCCCTGACAGCAAGGATGGGTCTGCTTCAGCAGCGACTCCTCTCAGGGCTCATCTAGACTAGAGGGAATGGTCGAAAGAAGATTACCCCCCCTTTGTCGAAAAGCTGCGTAAACCTTTTTTGAGGAAAAGCGGGTTTTCGATGAAGGGGACAGTTCGCCAAAAAATCTGCATCTTAATTACTTTCACTTTTGAAAGCTCCGCTTTTGAAAGTGCGATCGG